TTACGAAGCTACGAGAATACTTTTTGTACGCAAAGAAAACAAAAATAACGACTTTATTCAACAATTCGTCTCCTCGGCGTCACCATAGCGCCATTTTGGAGAATATCCACTGAACGCAAACAGCGTATGCTATTCTGTGTCAGCCGCACCACACGGATACGTTTTCTACGTTTATTTACACATTGATTTGAACGAAAACAACGTATCCGTGTATTCTCGTAGCTTCGTAAAATTACGGTCGAACCCCTGATATCACATGGATTATTTTACTGATGTCCTTGCTACATTTCTGGACGTTGATCGTGTTACTTACATTGCTGTCTATGGGAGGGTCAGAGAGCTCTCAGAGTGCATCAAAAATATCTTAATTTGTGTTCCGAAGATGAATGGAGGTCTTACAGGTTTGGAACGACATGAGGGTGAGTAATTAATGACAGAATTTTCATTTTGGGGTGGAGTAACCCTTTAAAACCATCATAGAAGTAATCTATATGACTTGTGTGCAATATAAAATTCAAACAATAACGAACAGAATTAAAGCCGTTATTCACTGAATATATAGCCTTCCCTTGTGAAAATAAAGTACACTTTAGCATACTTTTAAAAGGAGTACTTATTATTGAAATAACATACTTCAAAAGTGAACTAAATGTAACATTTCTGGACACTTGCATGCTAATTGCAATTAAATGAAAATGTATTACTGTTAAAATGCATTTATTAATCAAAATGCAATCACCTGAAATGTAGAGTTTTTTGAAGGCACTTAACTAGGACTTAAGTACATCTTAATATGCAATTTCGTAATGATTTCTATGGTTTTAAAACATGGTTATAGTATGCTGCTGAATGTACTGACAAGGGTTTGTGATAAACTAAAATATGCTTTAACGCCATTTCTATTGAAACTTGCATGTCATGCATTAAAATATATCTCAGTTAGGCAAGGCTCAGTTGTAGAGCATTGCGTTAGCAGCGCAAAAGGTCGTGGGTTCGATTCCCAGGGAACACACATACTGGTAAAAAAATTTATAGCCTGAATGCACTGTAAGTCGCTTTGGATAAAAGCGTCTGCTAAATGCATAAATTATTATTATAAAATAAGTGTTGAAGCATGTCAAAAGATTGTTAAGAGATGATGCTTTAAATAAATACAAATCACTTATTATATTTTCAAGTACTGTTTTTTTTTAAATACTTTTAGGATTTGAAGTAAATAACAAGCTCACACTCAATATACTTAAGCACACTCCTTTTTCACAAGGGTTGAAGGTCTTATTTGACCATTCACTTTCATTGTACAGAAAAGAGCAGCTTAAACATTCTACTATTTTGTGTCCCACAGAAGAAGGTTTCGATTAAATCACTAAGGGTGAATAAATGAGGACTTTTCATTAATGAGTGAACTATCAAACCACATATTTCAGGCCACTTGGATCATCATCTGTGACTTACGGTGATCATAACAAACATGCACTGCGAGACGTTGAAGGCATGCCTCCAGTTGTGATAGGCTACGGTGCGGTAGTTCTTCCTCACGGTAAGCAGCCAGTGGCACAGCACCTGAGCAGGAAAAGAAAGGCACACTGTAGTATTCACACCATAGCTCCAGACCCTCCCTGTGTTCCCGAAACCAGCCTGCAGCACAGTCTCTCCCCAATCCATAACCCAGCGCTCCCTGCTTCACACAGCATACATATGTAAGCAGCATTTCACTCTTCCAGTCAGTATAGGGTTGGCGTTTGGCCCCCGCCCTGATGGGGATTGCCTCACCTCATAATCAATTTTGAATTTCTGCACGACACCGAGCTCCAAAAACATCCGCAGGGAGGCAGTGATCATGGCGTCGTTGTCCAGAGAAAAGTCATTAAAGTGGAACTCATCGATCCCGAGCTCACTGCTTAGGGGAATCTTAGCAGCCTGAGACAGGAGAGGGGACAATCTCAGCAACTCCAGTAGCAAGGCAATTAAACACCAGAGTACAGCCTGATCCACTGAGGGCTCAAACAGAAAGAGTATATTACACTCTGCCATTTCAATTATTAATACTTCATACCAAGTCTGGGACCCACCATCTATAAATTTCTAGGAAACGTTGGGGGCTGAGATGTTTTTTACACTTCTATCTCTCTAATGTATGAGTTTAATTTGAAGTTTTCATCACGCCTCTCTGGAGAAAAGGTTTCTATATGCTACTGATCTGGGAATCTTATACCAACCGTTTATGGATGTGTTGTATCACACTTTGCAACACTACAGAATCTAGCTCTATCACACTGTAAAGATAATAACGCACTGGTCATATACAGTAAATTGTAATGCTGTTGATATTAAATTCAAATGTGCTTTATTGCATGACAGGCATTACAGCGTATTGCCAAAGCATTTGTAATATTTACAACGAATCAGATACTGAATGAATAATTTATAATATTATAAATGATAAAATAGGTAATTAAAGAGTGATTTACTTTTTGCTATAGTTATAGTTTATTTAAAGAGCTTTATTTCTATGCAACATGACTTATAATACACGAAATAGCATGTGACAAAAATAATTTTTAAATGAACATATGTCTTTTTTTTAAATTAGGTAATCAATAAAATCAATATTTTTTGTTGTTCCTTTGACACATTTTTTATTTTATTTTTTATTTACTTGAAATACAGTATACTGTTCAGGTGTCTTATGCTCACCAAAGTTGTATTTATTTGAAAATAAGTATACAGTAAAGTAACATAAAATGATACAGCAAAAATAGTAATATTGTGAAATATTATTACAATTTTAAAAAGTTTTCTATTTTAATATATCTTCAAATATAGTTTATTTCTGTGATGGCAAAGCTGTTTTTTTAGCATCATTACTCCAGTCTTCAGTGTCACATTGAAATCAGAAATCATTGTAATATGCTGATTTGGTGCTCAAGAAACATTTCTGATTATTATCAATGTTGAAAACAGTTGTGCTGCTTAATATTTTTATGAAATCTGTGATACATTTTTTAAAGATTATTTGATATACAGAAAGTTCAAAAGAACAGCATTTATTTGAAATATAATTTTTTGTAACATTATTAAAAATGTGTTTACTGTCACTTTTGATAATTTTGCATAATTTCTGAATAATACTAAAAAAACTGTACTGACACATCATTTTTGAATGGCATAATAAGTAGACCAGTGGTCAATAATGTTTCAACATCTAAAACTTCACATATACATAATGAATTTAAAACATTAGTATATTTTCAGTGCTGAGTCTAGTTTGTATGGACTTAAATTACATATTTTAATCTTACCTTCAGTCGATCAACCTCTGCCTTGGAGCATGTGGCATGATAAGACAGCATCTGGAAAAGACAGAAACAACAATACACTGTGCACACTATGTAACCATACCACGCGTGCACAATATATTCTCTCTACTGGTCTGACAGATTTATATGCAGGCAAAAAATGTAGCTATTATGTTAATGAGCAGTTTAAAACATAAAAAGAAATACCAATAAGAGATATTACTCACATCTAGAGCCACAGACTGCTTGGCCCAAGTCTTTTTAACCTGGTTATACATCATTGTGTTGTTAATGCCCAGACCACAGAAAATAACAAATGCCTGTGAGGAACAATGGAAATGAAAATTACTCATGCGTATGATTTATGACATCATCAGTAATGTAAGTATGTAAGGCTCTAATTCACTTATAAAATATTGATTGGCCATTTTATTCCAACATCAAATATTTGAATTAAGTCACACCTCAAATAACCTTTGATCTGCATCATTAAATGTCTTCCTGTCCAAGCGATTCAGAATCTGGGCAACACCTAATGAAAGTAAGACATTATTTTAGTTGTTGTTTTTGTGGGTTTGTATATAAGCAGTTGTGTGGGGAAACTCACCAATAATCTGATGTGTCCGATTCCAGATGGGGACACATAAAACTGATCTGATATGAAAACCAGAAGCCTGGTCCGCCTGAGTAGGAAACACAATGCTTGCATGATACATGTGTGTGTGTGTGTGTTTTTGAGTAGACTTGGGTTCATATACATGCTTAAAGGTGCACTCTTGTGAAAAAGAAGTGCACTTAATTGTATTGAATGTGTACTTTTAGTGTATTTTTTCCCTCTCTATTTCTCAATTTTTTCTCAATTTTTTTTTTAGCTCTATTTAAAAACAAACCTGTACTTGCAAATAAAATAATTTCGATTTTTTTTTTTAAATGCCACTGAAGTGTTCTTAAAGAAAGTACACTTTTATTCCTAACTTATTCCTTAACACATAAAAGTGCACTTTGTAATCATGCCAAATTACAGGCTTTACTTTAAAATACATTTCACATCGTTTTAATAATCTTTTGTCATTCTTTAAAGAAGTACATTTATTTTGATGCACTCACTAACATACTTATGCACATGTAAACTACTTGATATATTTAAATAGACTAAATATTTAAAAAGTTTCAATAGACATGCATTTACGTTTTACTTTACCATAAATGCTTGCCAGTACATTTGGCAGTACACTAATCAATACGACAATTAAAGTTATTCAAAGTATTTCAAAGTAATTATAAAATTACATATTAATATGTACTTGAGTCCTACCGAAGTGGGTAAAAAAGCACACTTAAGTTCAACTAATTGTATTTAATATTAATTGTATACTATAATACCTGTTCATTTAATTGTAATGCAATAAATTACAGTCAGCCTACACTTAAGTATATCATTTTAAAGCATATTTTTCCATAATAAGTACTTTTTTTTAAGTATGCTTAAGTGTACTTTTTTTTCACAAGTGCATACTATCTAGATGACTGCTGCTAGTATGCTAGTTTAGACTCAACTGGCAGCATGAGAGAGATGTGGGCTTGGAATCATACTTTGGTTTGGGCCAAGTGATCAACATGAAACTGGTCTGTGAGGGTGTGTTCTGCTCACCTCAGCAACATCAGTGGTTCAACCACAATGTTATAAAGCTACGAGAATACTTTTTGTGCGCAAAGAAAACAAAAATAACGACTTTATTCAACAATTTCTTTTCTTCTGGGTCAGTCTTCAATGCGCGTTCACGAGAGTGCCATGATGCATGCGTGTGCATTTCTGCTTGTAAACAGGTTTGGAACGACCTGAGTGTGAGTAATTAATGACAGAATTTTCATTTTTGGGTGAACTATCCCTTTAAACCTTTGTTAACCAAACCAACAGAGCTGATCCTCCCTATACGCAAAATACGCAAGCTGCATAGGTCCCCCGAAACACCAAGGCACCCCCTTGCTCTCAAAGATGATTTAATTTTAGTTTGTTTTTTAATTCAGCCAGCGGTTATGAAAACATTAATGATCATTTCTTTTAATGCGGTGCGCTGTCACCATTTCTACGTAAAAATCAGTCAAATCATGTAATGTAAATGTCGTACAGTCTTGCTTGAGACTAAAAACGAGTTGAAAGCGTACCGAGCCGTGGAAGCGACACTGTTTCTCAAGAGCTTTCCACGAGCGCGATTCGAGACGGAGTGAAACACGGACAAATGCGTTTCATTCATTTGTACATAACCACTCATACACTCATACCCTCCCCCCTACATCTAGGATCGGTCTAGAATCGGCACTGCAAACCAAAAATCAATTCAAAAACCTACTGACCCGGAACCGGAAATGCTAAAATGCTAACCTATTACTGTGTTTAAATAAAGACTAATGTAAAAGCCAAAGAGAGGATGCCCAGCTGAATTAGTTAAAGGGTTACCTCCGTTCATCTTTGGAACACAAATTAAGATAATTTTGATGGAATCTGAGAGCTCTCTGACCCTCCATAGACAGCAAGGATATTACCATGATCAACTCACAGAAACGTAGCAATGACATCTGTAAAATAGTCCTTGGTGACATAAGGGGTTCAACCGTAATTTTACAAAGCTACGAGAATACTTTTTGTGCGCAAAGAAAACAATAATAATATAACTTATTCAACAATTCTTCTCCCCGAGTTACCGTCTTCTGCCATTTTGGAGAGTACCCCAGAACGTAATCAGTGTTGTTTACATTCAGTAGACAGCGAGCACATGCAGAACGTAAACAACGCTGATTACGTTGATTATGTTCTGGTAATATCCTTGCTGTCTATGGAGGGTCAGAGAGCTCTCAGATTCCATCAGAAATATCTTAATTTGTGTTCCGAAGATGAACGAAGGTCTTACGGGTTTGGAATGACATGAGGGTGAGTAATTAATAACAGAATTTTCATTTTTGGATGAACTGTCCCTTTAAGAATGGTGGAAGGTGGAAAGGATGGAGAAAGACAAGAAAACACACAAAATAAGGATGGACCAAAATTGTGCCAGAAAAGAGAAAAGGGGGACTAAAAAGGCAATCTCACAGGAGAGTGGATGTCTTCTAGCAGAAGCACCGAGCAGCGCTCACACTGCAGCAATGTCAGCGCACGCTGCATGATCTTTCTGACTATCTTCTCCAGGTCCGTCTGCTCCTCAAACAGATCATTCACCACCTCCAGCAGGGCCTTGAGGAACATCAGCAACAGCTCGAAATGTATTCAGATAACACAGGCCTTCAAGCAAATTATTAAATATTTTAAACCTTGAAACCCGAGGATTGTAAACAAGCTTACAAAATCAAGCAGCACACTGTCTGAGACGCCTAGAAGTCTAGAGGCAGATTTTAAAATCAGTCTGAAAAACTGGGTTTTATTCAGCAACATTTCTGCAGGTCTTGACTCACCCTGCTCCTCTCATACTCCTTGCGGGATTCGGAGAAGAGTTTGGCATTGGAGATTGATATTCCACAGAATGGTAGATACATTTGAAGCACCTGTAGAGAGAAGTGTGATGCTTTCAAAGCTTTAGTCTGATTGATGCATGACGGTGAGATATTGAGAGGGGGAAAAAGAACAACAGCAGAAGGACTGGAGGCATCACATCAGTTCATCAGTTTATTTCTAGGGCATTTATAACAGCACAGCCTGTGTATCTGCTTTCAGTGCTGCTTGGCATAAATAATTCTAAAGAGAAATGCTGTGCTATTAATTACTATCTATAGAGAGCTGTTTTGAAGCAGCGATGAAAGTGAAGGGCTGAGATGTGCGGGTACAGACTGACTTGTGTCCAGAGACTGCAGTACTGGATCTGCTGCACTGAAATGTAAGATTCTGAGGTATGGCATTCACATGTGCTGATTTAGCCAATGACAAAGATGACCTCTGTTCTGAGAACAATTTAGAGCAGGCGAATTCCAAATGGTGGTTGTGCACCCTTGACAGGCATGGGACGTCATTTTTAGGGGCATTCCAAAAGAAAGTGAATAACTAAATTCCCTTCATTAAGGACCCTTTCACGAATGGTATAATAAGTTCACTTCAAGGAATTTTATCATTTATGGTCATGTGATGACCTCCAATTGTTACCTTAAAGGGCTATTTCTACCTGATTTCACCCATAAAATGTAGCTTTGATAGTATAAATTACTGTATTTAGGTTGATTCATCAATATTAAATAATATTCCAGACTTAAAATCAGTTAATTTAGATATTTCTGTTTTTAGGTTACCATTTTTTTTCAGGGTAAGAACATCTAATGGGATGAAGGACACCGCATTACATTGCACCGGAAAAAAACAGTAACCTAAAAAAAAATGTGCTTCATGTGGAAACATCTAATTTAATTGATTTTATTTAAATAAAAAATGTTATTTAACATTACTGAATCAACCTAAACAAAGTAGGTTTCACCAACAAAAATACAGAGTTCTAGCATGAAACTCTAGATGGCGCAGTCCGATAGGTCTAACTCAATCTGACCTAATGACATCATTATCACATGGCACAGCTGATTGGTTCTCTCCTGTATCGGTAGCCAATGAGCTCGCTGCTCAACATTCAAATATATGACTAGTGCTTGCCGTAGCAGTTGCAGCTTGCTTCAGAAACCCTCCACCTTCCCCAGCTCCACCTGTATAGATCTGCTATGAGGTGATTCATGTATGCTATATGGGGGTTATTTCATGTATGTTATATTTGCAGCAGCAATATTTCTTACATGCGCACAGCAGCATGTTGTGGATGTATTGGCAGTAGCAAGTAGCAGCAGCAGCATCAGCAGCGTAGCAGATCTATTCCAAATACATTAACATTGTCATGTACATTACCATGCCAGTCCATCCGAGAGTTGTCATGACAGAACTAAATTTAAGGGTAAGATCATGTAGATATAGCTCTTTAACGTAACAATTGCTGGTTACCTCTTTTTACAGTACCATTCCAGTTGAAGATAATGTCTAAATGACATTGTTTTTCAATGCTCTCCACACCAAGTGCACTTCAAACAGCTTCATGCTCCCTCCAAAGTCGGCACTTCAAAGGTTCTACCTTTGGAGTGAGTAGGGCATAGGGATTCTCTCTTCCAGTTGGAATTTTCCAAATATCAGTTCTAGATTTGATATATGCAGTAACTCAATAAAGGTGCAAAATGACCACAGGGCTTCAACTGGTTATGCTCCTGTTATAAAATAAATCTTTAAATATGAATAACTCATTTTTTAGAACTACTTGTACTCCAGCATAGCAGGATATTCGCCAAGGTGCTAATTCATTGATCTCTTTTGATTTAGCACAGCAATTAGATTCACACTCTAGAGTTTCATTACCAGTTAAAGTTTGGGCAATATAGTAATAGGCATCTGGAGAATGTAACAGGCTATAAATCCACTAGCTGGAGCAGATGCTTTAGAATATAATATCAGCATGAAGCCAAGAGAAAAGGAGAACAAAGCTTATGTACCTTCTCATCGTCCTCGGTGAATGGAGTTCCGCTGGGGTTCTTGTTGATGGCCTGCACTACACCGATGACTTCACCATCACTGTTGCGGATGGCCATGCACAGAATGGACTGAGTCTTATAGCCCGTCAGCTTGTCGATTTCATCACTGAACCGATGGTCCTACACAGTACAAAGGAGGCACAACATTGTGGCTAGATGCAAAAATTAACATGCATTCATTATGACAAGTTACTGTATTGTTATAGAAAATAATTGTTAGAAATAATAATTAGATGATGTAATACAGTAGATAATAATTGTAAAAGAAAATCTGTTGATAATTGGGATGTTTTGATTTATTTTTGATTTATATTATAAAAAGACTACTTTTGAAAAATTGAAAATGTTTCTTTTTTTTGCACATCAATCCCAAATCCACTTATGTACTTTGCCTCATTCAAATCTAACTCAAGATGATTTGGGGGGAAAAAAGCATGGTAACACTTTATTTTTCAGTGCCCTTGTTACACGTTACCTGTAATCACAGTAAATTTTGCCTAAATACATGCCGCTAACCCTAAACCAAATCTAATTTCAAACCTATATTAAGTACACATTGTTATTTAATATTACTAAGTACGTAATTACACTGGATCAAAGACACCTTAAAAACTTTACAATGGGGAATGGGAAAAACTACATGAACATGTATTTGTAGTTGTTGTATTTCAGATTAATCTTGTAGCATATTACATCACTTTTTACAACTGCATTCATTGCCACCAAAAGCATAAAATTCCAACTGAGTGATAGGATAGTGGCAAATTCATTGCACTGCATCAATGGATCTCTTCTGACCACAGTGTACTAGGGAAGGCTTGACTGTGGCCATGATATAATGATGTGTACGCATGACTGGTAGTGTGTATTTGAAGATGGGGAAACAGCCAACACTGTAATCGAGATATCTTCACATGGGGAATGCTACGTTCTTGAAACTTTTGACATAATCAAAATAATCAGACAGCGACTCAAAGCCTTGGCTGCAGAAACGGTAGAAATCACAAATCTTTAAAGGCACATCTATTCTATCCTCCATACTCAAGGTTCATATTTTTGCCATAGCTGTTGGGTAAACAAGAGAGCAAGCTAAGCTACTGAATATGAATATGAATGAAGGTAGATTTTATTTGAAATACTGAACTTGGGGCAAGCTTTTATGTGTCTTCTAAATGTTATATGTTGGCCAAAACAGTGATTTTAGATTTTTGCGTCAACTCTTAAAATGTTGCTGTTTCATGAATAGCTTTGTTTCATAATTATTTTACTCTTTAAATGTAGCTAAAAGTCTATAATAGACTGTTTAATGTCAGATTCCATTGTGACAATTTACACCGATATAGTGTGACAACATGCTCCCCTACTGGCAGGTCAACGTTGATTGAATTGTTTCTTATCTCAATTGTTAACAACAAATTTTTTTGTTGTTGTTGTTTTTTTTTGTAGCCAAGACCTACTGTATACGCCTACATTATTTCATTATTCTAAAATAAACCTATACCTGAGAAATATTCACTGGAGTAAAAATTGTGACAACTAGCCCCGGGCTCCCCAAGAACTTTATTTTTTATGTATTGTACACTGCATATAAGTCCCTGGCGCAAGCTGTCAGTTTTTGTCTTGCTCCACGTAAATTATAACTAGAGTTATCCAAACGTCAGTTGTGCAAATGAAAAATAAAATACACTTAAGGTTTTTGTGATTTATGATGTAAACTCATAATAGTCGTACAAAATGACAGTTTTAGTCCAGCTTTTTTTGCGTACCGATCGAAACTGACCGCACAACTGTTGTTATGGTTACCTCTGGCGAAAGCGAAGTTATTTAGTGTCTATTTGGCAACAGGTAAAAATACGCACCACTAACTTGTAATCTAACTTGTATAATTCCATAAAGTTCAAAACCCCTTTTGAAAAGGACATGCTTTAAAAAAACTCAACCTTTTGCTTCGACGTCCTTTGGGTTAAACCATCAAACCCCTTATAATAATTCGCAACCAATGACTGCGTAATTGTCAGTATTATTAGTTGCAGTTCTACCTCGTATGCGTTCGGGATGTTGACGGTTTCTCCGTGTTCTGCTACATAACCTATGATGCCTTTTCCCCACGGAACCTGCACCTCGTTTGAGTCCAGAGTACTAGAAGAGGGTCGCACCGTCGTACCCGAGTGCACATCAAAAAACTTGGACACCAGCGTCCTCTTATGAGACGGTCCCTCCACTAGGAAAAGCGAACACCTGTCTGCGTTCACCATGATGCACACATTGATAAGAATCTTGTAGCTGAGGTTCGTCATGTCAAGTTCGTTAGAAATGTCCTTAACCAGCTCGAGGAAGAACTCCCTCTCGTTGGACTCTTTGAGTCTGTATTTGTAGTCAATGGCGCTGGAGGCATACTGAGGCACGTTCACCCGGGACTCGAGCAGCGCGCTCAAGATGTGCGCCGTAGTCGGCGGTAACGAACTGGCTTTCCGCAGCAGCGCGCGCCGTCGCATACTCGACTGGGACTCGTGAGCCGTGAGACTGACGTGCTCGTCGTAGGTCCGGTGCGCAGTCGTCGCTTTGGAGCGGGCGAAGTTCCTGCGGAGCTCCATGTGGGACGATCTGCGCCTCAGTCCGTCGGGGTTCGTGGGCCAGATGGGATCCTTTACGACCCCGCGTTTCTCCTCCGCAGGAGAGGTTTTGGACGGCTGATGCTCTTTGAGCCACCTGCTCAGGGTGTCACATTTTCCCTTCCTGACGAGATATTCCTCGAAAAGCTCCGGATGGCAATCCAAAAATGCCTCCACGTCGGAAAAATCAAAAGTTGTCATGTCGGCACAGCCACAGCCAAATTGTTGTGGAGTCGTCTACAGTGTAGCTACTGCTGCACACACTTCACACGTCCATCTGCCATTCACATATCACTGTTCTCCAGCCTTCCTCCTCACAGTCTTTTATGAGGCTCGTGGAGATGAACGGTGAAATAAATAATTAAATATGACTGATGCGCGATGACGTTGAAGTATAATAAGCAATTTTGTTCAAGCAGTTGGCAGGTAAGACGCAGATTTCCTCTGGGAGGGACCTAAATAAACATGAAAGCAAACGAATTTTGTCTGTTCATTGTGTCTGTGACTGGAAATGGATGTTTCTTTTTGTGTGTCTCGTGGAAGTTTAATGAATCTGTTTTTGTTTCGTGAAGGTCTTTTTATATGGTGTGTAGTGACAGACAAATAGAGAGAGAGAGATAGAAAATGTGTTGTAATACCTTCCTTTATTAAACATTTTTGAAGTAGCCCCAGTCTGAAAATAATGGCTGCTTTCATTTGTCATTAAAAATCTATCCATAATATGTATATTCCAACAGGATGAATAGCCCATTATTTCTGTTTGCACAGTCATTATGAATGTAATATTACAAAACGCGTGTGAATTGAAATTTGTATTGCTTTATTGTTGCTGAAGGGAAATTTGTCTTGGACTCTATGGTGCTGTACACATACACAAGACATCCTCACACTTCTTCAAATCATCAAGTCAATAAGAGCAGTAAATATTAATACCATTTGCCAGATTCCAAAGCAACTTGAGTTCATGGATTCACTGGAAATCATACCCAGGAGCTTGATATTGCTCTACTGTTTGAACTACAGGAACACTGAAAAATCATTACAAAAAATAAATGCAAACATCACAAAACAATATTTGCCATAAAATAATACCTTACAGAACAGTATGGACCATTCAAATAACTTAACACAAAATAAATAGGGTGAACTATGCAAAGTGGAGAGTTTTTTTTGTACATTTGCAATTAAGCACTGATAAAAGCTTTTTTTTTTTTTTTTAGCAAAAGTGGGATAGTAATTGTAGAATTACAGGAAATGAGTGTGCAGCTTAAATAATACAATGTCACATTTAAAGCAATTTCTTCTATAAAAAGTGACAAAGAAATCAGTATATGTGTCAGCATGAAAATTATATCAGCTTAAACTGTTTTTTGGAACATAGTGGCTGGTTTATACCAGTCCTAACCACCTTGATCAGTTGAACAGTTTTGAAAAAAAGTGTCCCACTTGGCCTAAAACAGTACTTAAAACTGTGAAGTATTGTTGTATATCTGCAATAATTGACCATGTAATCAGCTTTAAAAACCATCATTAATGGTGATCATCTATGATGATGTCAAAGAAAAACATTTTCAGGAAGACAAACATCGTCTTTGCATATGTAAATGAGTATATGAGGTTTATGTTATTTCCCATCTGTTTTGGTTAACAGTTCACCATTGCACGTCTTCTCCTACTTGTCATTTCACACACTCACTGACGCACATAGACCTTCACTTCTCCTGAATAAGGCATTGTGTGCTTGTTTAGCTTCTTTCATTCCAACTGAACTCTTTCTGACATTGTTGCTTCTATGCTGTTAAAAACACATTTTTTTCTGACAAAGAATGCTACTGTGAACTGGTTCTGCTTTGAGATAATTATCTCCTCAGCTTTAACTCTAGCAATTTCTGGGATCTGCCCAGAGAGAGTTATATGATTTAATTAACATTTTAATATTTTATCCTGTGTAATACAGGTCTTCAATAAACAATTTCATCAGATTCTGGGATTGTAGCGTACAAATGCAACACATTAGCCAGGAGGTGTTTGCTTACACTCCACTCCCCCATGGTGTTCCTCAGAGCTTGATAGGTTAATCACTTAAGCGCATTTAAATGGTTGCTGGTGTGCATTTAAACTATACCAGTTGATGTTCATTAGTAAGATAAGGCACTGCAGCCTTGATGTTTAAAGCAGCCTCTAATGGCCTGCAGCAGTATATTCTGACACAGACTAATGAGACCTGTTCTCCATAGTTGAGTATTAACAAGCAACCAAGGGAGTGGGATCACCGCACTACATTCATAATACAACAGTAGGAGATGTAATACCGTACAGCAACACCTCTGAAGAGAAGGGCGGTAATTGGTCACTGAACTTAAGTTTGGCGTGTGTGCTAAATCCCAGCTTTTCTCGAAAACTTTTACAAGGTCCCTGGAGAATCCCAATTAAAGGTGTAATACTGAATATATTGCTCAGCATAGCCTTATAAATAAGGCCGGTCAGTGTAAGTGCTTGGCAAGCAGTTGGCGGTGCATCTGGACAGGGTCTGGTCTATTGATCTGTGTGTTCACATTTTGATTGAACACCACAGGGCAAATATTCATGCAAAGACAGTGAGTGGGAGTTTTTCATGAGGTGTGTACATTTTCGAAAACAACAGGGTAGATTAAATGTATGTTAATGTAATGTATGATAAGGGATGTAATGAGATGATGTTCATATAAGACTGAACTGTGGAAGTGAAGAGTTTCAGAACCATGGACAGCTCTCCTGCTGTTTTAAATAGAGAACAATGATGATGAGTTATTCACTAGGTGGGATTAAATGTAGAAACCTAAAGGAAATATCAAACAAGCACACAAGCCGTTAAAAAGAATTTTCTAACATTAAAGCTAACTGAATAAACAATGGAGCTTCTACTTTTCATTATGATGTCAAAATGCAATATGTGGCTATTGTGCACAGGTCTGCATTCTTATTTAATCACCTGAAACACAAAAATGAATTGAGCTGACTGTTTTTCAGGAGTAAGGATAAGATTCACTCTTATTTCTGCTGATTTTACAATGGATGGAAAATTAAGGAGAGAGCAAGGAAATGTTTTTTTATATACTAGCAGAATATTTAGTGTCTTGAGAACAGGCAAATGTAAAATAACTATAGTAAGCAGAGCTGCGTCCATTCCTTCAGTTTATTAATTCTCTGTAAAGAAACTTTATGTTTGAATATGCTTAAAAATAATGATAACATTTTTTTTAAATGTTATTGCTGGAATCTTAAAGCAATAGTTCACCCAAAAATAGAAAAAGTTGCTGAAATTGTACTCACCCATGAGCTATTCAAGATCTAAGTGAGTGTTTTCTTCATCAGAACAGATTTGGAGAAATGCAGCACTACTTGCTCATCAATGGATCCTTTGCAGTGAATGGGTGCCGTCAGAATGAGAGTGGATATCTGATAAAAAAAACATCACAATAATCCACAATATCTTGTGAGGCAAAAATTTGCATTTAAATAAACAAATCCATAATTACAACATTTGCTTCCTGCTAAACTGAGTCATCGATCCATAATATTGCTTTCTCCAGTTAAAAAGTCGTCTTGTCTGAAACAGGAGAGAAATATGAAAAGGTCAAACTCCTTTTAGAAGCAAAAATATTCCAAAAAAGTTCTAAAAAAATATGACGATGTGAGAGGACAACAGAAGATGGACTTTTTCGCTGGAGGAAGCATGATTGTGGTTTTTGACAAGAAGCAAAATTGTAATGTTAAAATGCATTGTGATGGATTTGTTTTTTATGAACATACAGCTTTTCACTTGACAAGACATTAAGTGATGGACAGAAGTCATTTGGATTATTTTGTGAATTATTGTGATGTTTTTATCTGCTGTTTGGACTCTCATTCTGACGGCACCCATTAAGTGATGGACAGAAGTCATTTGGATTATTTTGTGAATTATTGTGATGTTTTTATCAGCTGTTTGGACTCTCATTCTGACGGCACCCATTCACTTAGAGGATGGGCAAGTGATGTAATGCCTCATTTCTCCAAATCTGTTCTGATGAAGAAACAAACTCGTTTACATTTTCAATATTCATCATCAATATTTGTGAATACAAGCCTAAATTAAATCATATAAATCACTCTATTTATTCAGAAGATTTGAATTGGACAGCTGGTTTCATTTGTGTTACTTATTTTGTTTTTATTAACTTTTTGAAGCTTGAAAATTTTTGTTGCGAGGACGTGTATGAACAAAAACAATGAGAAAATATAGCTGCAAGCAGCAATTGCGGGGCCAAGCACTCCAGAGGCGCTAGAGAGTTGGAGTTAGAGATTCCAAACTTGCTGTGGTTAATATTGAGACTGTCCTCTATCAGTGTGCCAAATTTCACAACTTTCCCGCAAGCGGTTCTATGGGCTGCCATAGACTTTCGGTGGAAGAAGAAAAATTACGCTAACGGATACAATAGGTGCCACTGCACCTTCGGTGCTTGGCCCCTAAATATTTAAAATGGTTTCATTTATGTTCCAAAGATGAATGGAAGATTTTCGGTTTGGAATGACATAAGAGTGAGTAAATGATGAAATATTTCACTACCCTTCTAAACATTCCTATGTGTGTAAACTACTCGACTTTTCCATAGCATGTATCCAGAGTTAACTGCTGAAACCAGAGATGGTTTTACACTCACTGCAGTAGCCTAGATCTGTGTTTCTCTGATAGCCTGCTCTGGTTTCAGCCTATCTATTGAATTCGAGCACTGAACATTCTGCACTCAGAGGCCCAGCCGCAGCAGACTTTACAATCGGAGGTTTGATTGCTCTCTGGGGGCTATTGATTTCTTGCATTATTCATTAGGAATACATTTACTTTTGAATTGACATAATTAGCTTTGAGTGTAACAGTTAAAACCTACCGATGGGAACTGACATCAGCCTAATTTGTTCAAAGATGACTTTTGCATTATATCTGGAATTTATAAGTGAGTTTAAGGGCTTAGCAGTAGGATTAAGTGCGCTCTGTCAGCGAGGCGGGTCTAATGAGCATCTCGCATCTCCAAATCCCTTAAACACAACAAAGGCCGCAGCTGAGCTTCCATAGTGATGATGTTCGGACTTGGATAAGGTGTCACTCTGTGGTTTCATGTGGCTGTTTGTAGATTCAATACTATGAACAGTGTAGGGATCCAAGCCTATGGTAGCAGACGCGA